CTTCCCCACTCTGCTGTCCAGCCCTCCTTTCCCCGATGACAGGCCACCCAGCCTCTTTTCCGTTGGCCCTGAAGAACTCTATGCCTCTCCTCTGTGCAAAGAGCAGGCTACTCTCAGCCCCCGCACCCCTCGGGGACAGGATTTATGAACTGTCACCAGGGCACCCTTGGCCTCCCCGAGGGTGAGATGTGCGTGAAGGCTGCACTCTGAGGCTGCTGCTTGCAGAAGCCGCAGTTCAGCCAAGGACAAGCGCTGTGTCCAGCTGTTCAAGGGGCTTTGCCACTGACTTTCTCACTCCGCGGCCTCGGCCGTCTCGTGGTCCAGAGTGTAAGACATGCTGCGGCCAGAGGCACGGTGGGCATGTGCTGGTGTCTGAAGGCAGAGCCCGGGGGTCAGATGTGTGCGCAGAGGGAACCGCTGCCCAGGAGCAAGTAGGTTGAGACTCCAGCTCCCCGCTGTTATTCTCAGCCCCCGGAAGAGGCTACTTCCATCCAGGTCAGCGAAGGTCCAGAGGGAGGGAGGGCCTTACATGGGAGTCCCCGAGAGTCAGGATAGCATTTCCCCAGCGGCTTGGGCCCTGGAACATTCAAGAAACAGGTCCATGCACCTATACCGTTCACTCTGGAGGAGCCAGAGAAGTCCTGCCCTTAAGAAGTTCGTGACCTTCTTGGGGACGTCTGGGGAGGGTGAGAAGAATGTCTAGATAATAAGCCTGTCTTGGAAGCGGGATGTTCCCAAGGAGGGGTTTGAGCTGGGCCCTGGAGCTTGAGAAGGTGTAAGAGGTGCGGAGAGAGAGAGTGCTGGGGACCTTCTGCTAGCCCTTCCCACCTGCTCTCTCCCTCCACCATCCCCTGTGCCCAGGAGCCCAACCCATGCTGACTCCACCAATGAGCTTGGGTTTGCCCGATGGGAGGCACCGGAGAGGAGAGAGGAGGAGGAGAGTGAGGCCCCTGCCTCTGTTGCTGTGGGTTGGCTCTGAGACCCCTCACTAAGGCCACAGCTCCAAACAGGTGGCCCTCTGAGCTCAACCACTCTCGCCAGCTCTGGTAACCACGTCCTTCCTGCGCTTCCAGCCTGGGTGCCAACAGCGCCTCTCTATGGCCAGCCCGGGCATTACTGTTATCTTTGCTCCCAGCTCTGTAAATAGTCTTTCTTTAAAATTTTTTTAAATTTTGTTTTGTTGCTTAAAGTATTCCAACCCTCCTCGGCCCCTTCCCACTGTAGTTTGACAGTCTGTTCGATGCTGCTCTGCCTCTGTATCTCTTTTCGTTCATCAGTTTATAATGGTCTTTTTCATCCATAAATGAGTGAGATCATGTGGTATTTTTCTTTCATTGACTG